GTACGGAGAGCGCGGCGGCTCCGTCCGTGCTCCTGTCCCTGCCCCTGCTCATCTCGCCTGTCGCTGTCTCGCAGGTGACGGTGCGGGATGCGCTGAACCAGGCGCTGGATGAAGAGCTGGAGCGGGATGAGCGCGTCTTCCTGCTAGGCGAGGAGGTGGCGCAGTACGATGGAGCCTACAAGGTACGTGGGAGCTGTCGGCGCGCCTTGAAAGGGCCTCAGGCAGGCCCTGACTGCGCTCTCCTGCCCTGCAGATCTCCAGGGGGCTCTGGAAGAAGTACGGGGACAAGCGAGTGATCGACACGCCGATATCCGAGGTATGGCTGGCCCCTGGCGCTCCCTCCATCAGTGCTCCCTGGTCCTCACCCCTTGGTGTCCTTCTCTTTCAGATGGGCTTCACGGGAATCGCTGTCGGTGCTGCTATGGTTTGTACATCTCCATTGCTCGTTTGCTTGAAAAGGTTACACTATTTCTATATAAAAACGCACTAATATACTTTAATATTTAACAGGCAGGATTGAGACCAGTGTGTGAATTCATGACATTCAACTTCTCCATGCAAGCCATTGACCAGGTTATCAACTCTGCTGCCAAGACCTGCTACATGTCTGCGGGATCCATCGCTGTTCCCATCGTGTTCCGAGGCCCCAACGGAGCGTCGGCCGGAGTGGCCGCGCAGCACTCGCAGTGCTTTGCAGCCTGGTACGGGCACTGCCCTGGCCTCAAAGTTGTCAGCCCGTGGAGCTCAGAAGATGCCAAAGGTCTGCTGAAAGCATCAATCCGGGATGACAATCCAGGTGAGCTCTGTGACCAGTGGCAGGACCTGAGGGAATGGCCTGGGGCTGTGTCAGGGAGGTTGAGGCTGGATATCAGGAAAAGGTTCTTCACCCAAAGGCACTGGAACAGCTCCCCAGGGCAGTGGTCACAGCACCAAACCTGACAGAGCACAGGAAGTGCTTAGCCAGTGCTCTCAGGCACATGGTGTGATTCTCTGTAGGGCCCAGAGTTGGACTCCAATCCAGGTCTGTGACCAGTGGCAGGACCTGAGGGAATGGCCTGGGGCTGTGTCAGGGAGGTTGAGGCTGGATATCAGGAAAAGGTTCTTCACCCAAAGGCACTGGAACAGCTCCCCAGGGCAGTGGTCACAGCACCAAACCTGACAGAGCACAGGAAGTGCTTAGCCAGTGCTCTCAGGCACATGGTGTGATTCTCTGTAGGGCCCAGAGTTGGACTCGATGATCCTTGTGGGTCCCTTCCAGGGGCTGTGTCAGGGAGGTTGAGGCTGGATATCAGGAAAAGGTTCTTCACCCAAAGGCACTGGAACAGCTCCCCAGGGCAGTGGTCACAGCACCAAACCTGACAGAGCACAGGAAGTGCTTAGCCAGTGCTCTCAGGCACATGGTGTGATTCTCTGTAGGGCCCAGAGTTGGACTCGATGATCCTTGTGGGTCCCTTCCAGCTCTGAATATCCTGTGATTCTGTAATGCCCAGCACTCAATCCTAAAGAAAGTCTGTTTCCCCCTCCTGCCCCATTTAAAAGACACCCAAAAAAAAGGCTGTTAAACTCTAAAACACTCAAGGTTGCTTTACTGCAGCTTTAGGGTATTTACAAACACGCAGAGGTATTTATCCTTCCCCCAGCAGTCACCTGCCTTGATAGCAGTAGACTAATCTTGTGCAGTTGGCAGCTACACGGCTTTAGTGACAGCTTGGCACCAACCAGGAGACTTAGAAGCATTTATAAATCATAAAGGGGTTGAAAAGGATGAAGATGAATCAGGAGTTCCTGCATATGCAGTGCCTATGTAACTCAATTTTACAGCTCATGAAATTCAGATAATGAATTCAGAATGTCATTAATTAAAACTAGGACAACCTTTGTCTTTATTCTTCACAAACATGAATGAAAAATCTGAGCCTTTCTAAAACCAGTGATTGCACTGTCATGTACTGAAAGTTAAACACCTGATCTGGTTTAGGACTAGTTGTAGACAGTTCTTTAAATAATTCAGCATTGAAGTAAAGATTCTGATTTACTCTTCTTTAAATTGCTTCTGCAGACTCCTCAGTCCCTTGTTGCCTGGGTGGGTTCATTGTCCTGAGCTGCAGCAGGATTGTTGGTGGTCAGTGCAGCTCTGTGCCTGCAGGTGTATGTGTTAATCCAAGTGTGTTTTCTTCTAGTTGTGATGCTGGAAAATGAATTACTGTATGGTGTTCCCTTTGAAATGTCTGAACAGGCACAGTCAAAGGAATTTGTTATTCCCATTGGAAAAGCTAAAGTAGAAAGGCAAGGTAAGCTGAGAATATGTTTGTTTTCTATTAACTGAGCTGCTTGGGGACTTTTCTAACCTCTCAGCTAGTCAGGACACTGCTGGCACAGGGCACAAGAAAGGCTTTCAGATGTTAAGTGTTCAAATGTTCTTTTACCCAGTAGTTTGGTTTTTTGTTCTGTTGCCCTTCTGAGGAAAGATCACCCAATTCTCTGTATTTCAGCTAAAACTCTGCCCTTCTAAAGGATTTGTACTGTGGGATAGAGGTGGAATAGGAGAAATACTTCTTTCCTCACCTAAGTATGTAATGCAAAAGGAGCTCACTGTAGTGTTTCATCCCACTTGTTTGTAAATTACCACTTAATTACATGAATGTTTGAAAAGGATAATCTGAAACTGTATTTAGTAATCTCTTCAGTCTCTGAAGAGGGTAAAGTTTGTGTCTTAGCTTAGTCCTTCTGCTCTTCATGCTGTGTCTGGGCTCAGCATTTCAAATAAACCTTAGGACTTAATTTACAAGTAAATCCTAATTACCTTGAAAGGAGCCTGAGGTCTAGCAAAAAGCTTTAAGTCTTAAGAGGTTTTCTCTTTTAACACTTGTTTCTGCTCCAGGAACTCATGTTACATTAGTGTCACACTCAAGGCCTGTTGGACACTGCTTGGAAGCAGCTGCTGTACTTGCCAAAGAAGGTGTAGAGTGTGAGGTGAGTGAGGTTTCTGCTGCTTTCCTCTTTTCCTGAAGTGGAGGGGAAAAAAAGCAGTGTGTCCTCTTGTTCAGGCTCTGCAAAACTTCAGTGTATTAACCACCAGCTTCTTCTAAGTGCCTTACAGTGTGTGCCTTTCCTGTTTCTGAGTTAGAAACTTTATGAAGTCTTCAGAGTCAGAACAGATGAAAGTGCTGAAGGCACTGTACCCAAACAGTGGTGCCTGACAGGCTCAGATCACAGCAGAGCTCACACCATCCCTTTCCCCCAGGTGATAAACCTGCGAACCATCCGCCCGATGGATGTGGAAACGGTGGAAGCCAGTGTGATGAAGACAAACCATCTGGTGACTGTGGAAGGAGGTTGGCCACAGTTTGGAGTAGGAGCTGAAATCTGTGCCAGGATCATGGAAGGTACTGAGCTTTGCTCTACATATATTGATCTCATTCCCTGCTCTAAATCCTGATGGCTTCATACAGCCAGGCACAGGCAGAGTTGGGGCTTACAGCTGAGGAGCTCGAGCCAAGCTGTCCTGCTCTAGAGACTGGCACAGTGTGGGTGCACGAACCATAGTGCAGAAAGATAAACAAGCAGGAACAGCTCTCTGGAGTATCAGAGCTACAGGAACAAACTAGTTTAAATAGAGTAAGATTCAGAAATTGAATTGAGAGGAAACCATAGCACATGGCAACCTGACAGCTGTCCTGTGTTTCAGGATCTGCCTTTAACTACCTGGACGCTCCAGCTGTGCGCGTCACCGGTGCCGATGTCCCCATGCCTTATGCCAAGATCTTGGAGGATAACTGCATACCTCAAGTGAAGGATATCATATTTGCAGTGAAGAAAACTTTGAACATCTAAGTTGTAAATATATGTTTTAAAGTCCTGCTTTACAAAGCATTGTTGGTGTTGGGCGAGTTGTATGCATAACTTCTGTTGTATAAGCTACATGGACTTTTGTACAGTGGGAGAGTCTAGTGACCTCCCAAAATATTTATATAGGGTTACCCTCTAAGCCACACTTCATATATGCAATAATGTGGTAATGCTTGTTTATTCAACAGTACAGGTGGGTTAATGCTGCTGATTGTGGAGAAATCCTGTTCCAAGTTTAGCATGAGGAAAATATCCTCTCTTTCTGCTTGGCTTGTTAAGTACCAGAGGAGCCGAGTTAAAGCGGCTGTGGCAGTGGTGAAGAGCTGCAAGAGCAGCCCAAGTCCAGCCTGTAATGCTGTATGGCTGTAGGAGCCTGTGGGCACAAGGCTTACTAAAAGGGAATGATCAGACTGGAGGTGAATCCCTGCGTGTCAGTGCAGGTTAACTGTGGGTTAACAGGTGGTGGCTGTGCTTGGTGTAAGAGCACTCTGCACACACAGAAATGCTTCTGCGCAAGAGCTTAAATAAAGATACTGATCTCTTCAGGATGTCATGGGAAACACTACCTAAGTTTTCTTTACTAGCTGCCACAGCCAGTGATAAAATATCTGTGCCCAGTTGGTTTGCTTTTGTGGTTCAATCTGTTGCATTGGTTTGTTTGTTTCTAGCTCCTCACCTGCACTAACAGCAGCTCAAACTCCAGTTTTTGCAGTGCAAAATGAGTGACTTTATTCAGCCACCCTGCACTATTGTGCAGTGTGCAAAGAGCTGGGAAGCAGTTGCAGCAGCCTTTGGGCAGATAACATCCCAGGATTTGGCTGAGGGCTATTCCTGCTAGGCAGGAGCTCTGAGAGGCTTCCTGTGGCAGCTGCTGCTACAGAGGGAGAGCTGCCCTGAGGAGCCTGTGCAGCACCCTGAGTGCTGAGGTTGGGGAGGAGATACACTCGGCTCTCTAAGCAGCCAGAAGAGCTTGGGTCCTGTTTCAGTGCAGCCAGGAATACCTTCCAGGGTATTTCCTTTAGCAGAGGTGCTATCAGGGTCTTAGAAGTCTGGCTTGCAGGTGCAATCCCAGCTGAACATAGCCAGCACACGCTGCTGGAGGAATTCCATTAACATTTTAATAAAAATGAATATCACAGGTTACATGAAACTTTGTACAGACATTCTCTGCATAGTAACAAACACTGATGTACTTGAATTTAAAAAAATGGATTATCTATAATCCTTTAAAGTGCAATTTTCTTTAAGGTTTTAAATCAAAAAGGGTCTTTCAATAAAGTTTAAACTGTAGAATTAACTTGAAGTAACTTTGCATTTAACTAAATTAAGAATAACATCCCACTGTCCTATTAACTCCCAATTCAACTGTTTCCTTATTTAAAAACACTTCCCCTTGGAGTCACAGGTAGGATGTCCATTTAAACAAGCTTAATGAGAGCATTTTTTAACTCCACCAGCAAATACGGTGGAGGAAGATTTAATTCTCCAGTTCCCTCACCTGTGCAATATGCTTTCAGGGTTGGATTATCTAAAACAAAAGCTGCTGAGTCAATGCAGCGAGAATTAAGAGGAGTTACAAGTGAATGAAGAGAGTTGAAAAACTGAGCAGACTAAAACTACATTCCTGTCATTTGAAAAAGAGGTGGAACAGAGCTAGGAAAAATGCATTAATTCACTGTCATCATCATGGCCATTCCTATTTTCAGATTTATTCAGCTATACAGAAGTTGCTGTACCCCTGAAACTGCAGCTAGAGAACACAGTTCTTGAAACCAGGTAAAGAGTGGAGTACTTATCACAGCATGGCAACACAATTCAGGCAGGGCAGTGCTGCTGCTCGAGGGAAGCTGAGACCGGAGTGATCGGAGCTGCAGCGCGATCAATCGATCGATCGATCGGCCGCTCTCTGCTGGTGGGTCAGGTGCTGGTCGGGAGGGGCAGCACAGGAGGGGGAGAGGGAATTCAATCCTGGAGTCACCAGTGGCCTCAGCTGATCCTGGGAGCACTGTAGTCGCACGTCTGTGTTTTCTTCAGAGTTCCTTTCTGAAAGTTCTGTATGGAGCTGAGCAAGGCCCCGCGGCTGGCGCTGACGGGAGGCTGTGGGCTGGGCGTGGGCACCTCTGTGCTCAGGGGAGGAGCTGCTGGTGGCAGGGGCGGCGGCGGCGGCGCTGGGGGTATCGACGATGCTCCTGTGCAGGGGGGAGAGAAGATGGAGTTTGATTATGCCAAGGATGTCCTCTCTGGCTGCTTACCTGGACTTGGTCAGCCTTGCACTAGTCACCACAGCCCTTGAGTGCCAGTGGAGTGTGAAAAACAATGGATGAAAAATGCCAAAGTGATCAAATGCCTCTATCTGCAGGTGAGTTGTGTCATCTGAGACACCTCTGAAATGAAGCCTGAAGGGCCTCGGTACTCAGGGATGCAAAACATGAGCCAAATGTGCTCTTGCCCCGAGGGAAGTGGAGATCACTTAACGGGACTTCCCAGCTTCAGTGTCTTGTTTGTTCCCAGTGAAGCAGTTTGCTTTTGGGACATGAACAGTAACAAAGACTGGAAGCAAATCTCACTACCTGTTATTTATGTAACTCACTTTACATTCTCATGAAGGATCACATCACTGTAGCATTTGTGATGACCATTTTGCTTGGTCAGATTATATTCCATTTTGAAAGTACTAACTGCAGATAGAGTTTTCTGGAAGTGTTTTACACTTCCCCAGTACTGTTCCACTTTCTCCAAAGATGTTGTAACAGATGTTTGACAACTGAATGAATCAACACTCACACACACTGCTGGCCTTTATCTCCTGTCCCCACCAGCCACCTTTGCACTCTGGCCCTTGCTTTCTACCCCAGTCACATCTACTTTGTGCTTCTCATCATGCCTCAGTCTCCACATCCTGACTCCCTTCCTGCGAAGTCAGAGCCCATGGTGGAACCTCCAAGCAGCAATGAGGGCCTGTGTGGAGGTGCTTTCTGGCAGCTTAGATCCAGGCAGGTGATCTGATGTGACCCAAGCAGCTCTCCCAGACACCCTGGTCTTGCTCAGCTCTGCTGCTGTTCATTGCACCATCATTGCTACACAAGTATAATAATATAATAATAATGGGCCTATCTTGTCTCATATATTCTGGAAGGAGTTAGGGACATAGTGATTAATATCTTAGAACTATTCAGCAGTGAATTTTAACTCCATCATCTAGATCAGGAGTTATTCCACAGGAAGATGAGAGAGACAAATGGCACCTATAGTCTAACACTTGCTTCCAGTAGCTCTAACCTACAAAGAGGAATGTACTGGAAAGTAGCAAGAAATAGGATGCAGGACAAAGCAAAACAACATGAGGCCAACCTCATGTTGAGGTTGAGAGACTGTGGTTACTGAAGTAGAACTGCTTGCTATGAAGTGAGCAAATACCAAGCAGTTAAAGGACATTATGCCACACAGACTTAAGAGATAATTGATGAAGGGTAAAGCTCAACTACAGAAAAAAAGCAGACCAACGTCCTCTATGCTGCATTTTTCTCTCAGTTCCTCACTAACACTTGTTTTCAGACCAACAAGTAACAGTAAAAACATAACTGCTGTTTTAATAACAAGCAGTTATAGTAGATGAAAGACATAACTCAAAACTCCTTCATTTTCTGTTTGTATCAGTCTTTGAAAAGATACTTTTCCCATCTGGGAGCAAGCACAAAATGCAGAGTATTCACACAAATCCATTTTGCCAGTGTACATTAATGTGTTCTGTGATTGTAGCACTTCCAGCTCTTTAGGAGAAATTCTCATTGGCATGAAAACCTTCTGTGAAAACAAAACATGGAAGTACATATTGAGCTCATCTTCACTCTCCTCCCTTCCAGAGGAAATACTCAAGTCCTAGCAGAATATCAGAGACCAACTGAAACAGTTTAACGTGCCTGTTGCATGGGGATCAACTGCTCTCTGAAGTAATCAAAACATTGCACAATGGCAGCACAAACTGAAATAAATTGCACGTTGGGGCCTTCTAACTTATCCAAATCTGCTCTTTACACTTGCCAAAGATCTAAGTCAATGTACTATTAGAAATACTGGGAAATCACTCCCTGGGTTAGAGTCCTGATTCCTGTGTGGATGGACTGCCAGGAAAGCAAAGCTTGGCTCTTTGCCAAAGGAAGAACAAGACCAAGAACATTTCAAGTACCCATTTTGTGGTTAAAGTGGTCAGAGCAGAACACTGTAGGTTTGATGTACCAACCTATCACCAAACAGATCAGATGAACTGTGGTAAAATCACTAAGAGCAGCTAATCATAAATGAAACAGCTTCAAAGAGATGCGAAAAGAACTGCAGAGAAGAAAGACAAGATTTTTGTCTGGCATTGCAAGGTGAGGCTTAGAGGCTGTGCAAGTAGTTGTACAAGATGCAATAGGGAATGACCAAGAAAACAGTGACCAGGACTCCACAGGGAATACAAATACAATGGCAACACAGGCAGTGGAAGAAGTCACATGTTTGACAGAGAGGGGGACAAAATAAGACACAAAATGCTTGGATCACTAAGTATTATTAGGCCAAGATTCCATGTATCACCTTCAAATTTTGGTCTGGTTATTTTACAATGGGGTGGAAAAGACAGGGAAGCAGGGAGAGAGGTCACCTTCCTTCCTGGAAAATTGTTGAATTCCTCAGGACACACTGTTACTAAATTTAGTTGCTGACAACATCATGGGGTTAAGCTCTTGGGAGACTGATAACAGACAACAGTACTCTTACACCTGAACTCTGCCTTAAAACAAACACACAGAGTTCAGAATGGTGTCTGATTAACTGTGAGCATTACATACTGAACCTGTTAATTAAGAGCATAATTCCAAAAATCTCCAAATTGATTCATTTCAGAGAGTCAGTCAAATCCAAACTGTCCTCCCCTTCCTGACACGAGTGGTGCAGAGGGAATCTTAGTTCACACGTGTACTCATATGCAGTTACATGAGTACAGATTAAGTGCATATGAGTTACAGATTGAATTGTTCTGCCCAGCAGTGACATATCTTCCTGCACTTACTAGACAAAAACATTTAAGACAAGTGCTCAGTTATCACTAGGCCTTTCCAATACACATCTTGGAAGACATTGCCTGCAAACACACATTTTACTCATTCATGCAGTTGTAAGAATAAAACACTCAAACAAGAACTTACCAAGGGTTTTTACAGGGACATTTTTGTTAAAAGAGTGTGTTAAAAGGAATAGGAAGTAAATCAGATGCTGTAAACTTGATGCCTGAATTGAAACAAAAACTTAATTATGAATTTAAAGTGACAGTAATTGTGCAAACAGCATTACAAACTTGGCTGAGAATGGGATGCCAACAGAGAGAATCATTTTGGTGATAGTTTTTAAAGATGCTGTATTTCATTAAAATAATCTGTAAGAACGTTCAGATCTTTTTCTTCTATTCCCTCCCAATACTAAGCAAGTTCAAGATTTGCATCCAGCTTTCCCCTTCAGAAACAGAGCATCTTTAAAGAGATAAATCAGCATTAGCTTACTTTTCCGAAAATTCACGTTCAAAATGATGCATGCTCTAGTGAAGACAGCAGAGAAAGAGAGAGGACACAAGTTAATCATCCAGTTCTCGTGTCAAAGTAAGAAAAACAGATACTGTTAGCTGAAAAGTTAGCACAAAAGTCAATACATTCTTATTCACTGGCAAATCCGAGGACAGTGGATTGACTGTTTCATATCACATTTATAGTACTCTGTCCAGTGCTGAATAACAAATCACAATTTCCCATGCCCTAAGCATTATTATACTTGAGGAACAAATACAACACACATGCTTTCAGCTGCACATGCCCTAATTCAAGCTTCACAGGATTAAAGTGCATTTAGAGAGCTTTAGCAAGAAATCTGCAGGAAGATTAGCCACAGAAGACGAAATCCACTCAGTTCAAGGAACAGTTCCTGTTGTGCTAACACCTGTATTCACACTTACACCTCCATTGGTCAGAGACACTCAAGAAAAGCACTTCCTAAAGCACTCCAATTGTCTCACAGAAAGGTGAAGGGCAGGCAAGATGCATCATGTGGGTGTCTATGGAACACATGTCTTACTGAAGGATTCAGAACAACTGGCACAAAAAAAGGTCATTAAGTACAACTCTTTCACTTCCTGCAGGGAAGCAAAAGTGACACCCTCCAAACTTTTCTCTGTTTCAGAGATCTCACTGGTATTTTATGTGCTTATTGGATTTAGAGAAGATTCAGTGAAGTTTTAAATAACCCACACCACAGTGTTCTGTATTCCCTCTGCTCCTAGCCACTACTCATAGCCACAAAGAAAACAGATTTTCAAGGAAGCAAAGAATTGTGGAGAAAAAATAACCAGACCTTCACGGAAGAATGTCAGAAACACAGGATGTTACATTAGAATCACTTGCCATGATCTAACAATGTATTTCAAAGATGTTATTTAGCCAATTATCTGCAACAAAACCAGCCCAAAACATTCTCATCAATGAGAACAGCCCATGAGAGCTCACATTCCTGGTGGACACCTCTCCCCTCAAAGCAGGCCATGCACTCACTCCTACAGCTGCTGCTGCCATTGCAAATGCAGCAGAAGTCAACCATCATTTTATTTATTAGTCTGTTTTCCATCAACTGTACCAAGCTCTCTGCTGCAAGCCAAGTCTCACAAGGCTTTTCTTCAGAGACAAAGCACCTCTCAACATGTGAGAAACCCCCTGAACGAGGTTCCTTCCCCAGGGCATGTCAACCTGAGGTCTGTTCCCTTTGGTCAGTGTCTCTGACTCTGCACTTACCCACATACTATACTGATTTGGTTGGCTACAGGCCAGGAGAAGGGCAAGAGCTTCTGTTTCCACATCAGCCTTAATTTGCTCATGTCATCATATCAGC